AGATGGCTAAATAGTGGTAGCAGAAGAAGTTACAGAGACCTGTTGTACTGAAATGAATACAGTTACCAATAGAAATACTTCATGTACTGTGCAGAATATGTTGATATTATAGTCTCCCTGTACTGACCTTTCTATAAAAGCTCAGTGTAGCCATATTATATTGTAATGTTGTAGTATGTTTTGCTTTTTTCAGTTTTTGTGCAAATGTTTTTCCTCATTATTACCATTGATTTTATTTCTTCCTTCATGACTTTTGGCATGTTATACTGATCTTGAAGGGTTTTTAAATGTCACGTTTTCTGATTAAATGTTATACTAATTTTTACAGTTTATACTAATGTATACTAATTACACAGTTTACCAGTAAATGCTGAAGGTCTGTGAGAAATAGGCAGAATTGATGATGAATAGCGTTGGAGTTGTTCAATATCATCTGAATAATGTCTACAATAACTGCTTTCCTCACGTGAACCCAGTAATATTAATAAAAGGCTCTATTTGTAACATAATTGTCATTTTATGAACATGAATGTACTTGCATCCAACAAAAATCCTTTTAATAAAATCCATTTACTCTTTCCAACAAAGGTTTTAGCAATGGTAAATTAAGCCTTGTATTCCTCCAGTGTAGCAGATGCTAAACAAATTAAGTATTTGTGCACAGTTCTCCTGGTATTGTTAAATTGTTGAACCCAGGCAATGCTATCTATTATAGGGAAGCTCTTTGAAAGTGTAGGTACAGTAGTGGGTAATTCAAATGAGAACTATACATGTAAAGTAACAGGATTATGACAGGTAAAAATCGGTACAAATCGGTTCTTATAACTTTTTAATTTTCAATCTGATGAATGCTTTTTAATCATTTTTGCCCTTGTTGACATTCAGGTTGAATGTCAGTTTTTAGTAACGCCTCTGCATTTGAAGACATGGCAGCAGGGGGCACGGACTCACAAAGAATCTGTATCCATGGTAGAACTTCACCGACATGGATTATTAATGATAAGCAGTAACTGTCACAGAAGTTTGAATAGTGTAATTACCGTTGAATCGTTTTATTATTAACATGATGATAACCATAGGCCTGTCTAAAGACAGTGCCACACTGTACGTTGATGTGTCTGACAGAATGATTCTGTGACGTGTTAATCTGTGCCTTCTGTGTGTTACAGTCTACAAGTCTCCGGAATACGAGTCTCTGGGCTTCGATCTCACTGTGGAACGACTGGTGTCCATTGGATATCCCCAAGAGCTCCTCAGCTTTGTCTACGACCCTGCGTTCCCTACCAGGTAAGGCCGACCTTCAAAGCCTTTCAAAGCCCTACATGAGGCATTTTCAACAATAATGGGAAATTCGTGAAAATACCCTGACATTTCTAATGCCTCCCTTATAATTTGTAATCCTCTTCCCCCAGTCCTGTTGTGTTACAAGTCTGTGCACACAACCGAGTATTTAAATTTCTGTCCTTTGATTTTTGCAGCTGGTCCTTCATAAACAATTAACATGGTATTCCAATAAACTTTAATTCAGTGTGAGCCCATACTGAAGAGAACAAAGGGAGAATACATGTACTTTTTTTAAACTTTTGATTTCCACCACATTTAGAGTACAGACCTATGATTTCACCCAGATCACTTACAGTCCTTTATTTGCGGGGGAAAAAAGAAGACAAATAACGCTGTCCTGAGACCATGCACAGCTTCCCGTATGTTTGCAATTAAAGTTTCTGACTTTAGAATTTGTGAAATGTGGGTATTTTTGTACTGAAGAGAGTACAATACGCACCTCCAACTGTAAACTTCCCACATCTAGTAGTATATTTGTAATCCACTAAAACTGTAGATTAGTAATTTATAAAAACTGTGGATACATGTTCCAGTGCCAATTAAAGTACCATTCTCTGCCAAAAGTTTGTCTCTCTGTGTGATTAATTTGTCTGCTTTTTAAAACATAGTGCGAAAGCCAAAATAGATGGAAAGGGTCTTGTTTCTTGGTGAAATTTCCTTGTACATATGGGCACACCTGGTTCAAAAATGTTAAAATGACTCTTCTTGATTGTAGGGGCCTGGTGTTTGATACATTGTACGGGAACTTGTTGAAGGTTGATGCTTATGGGAATATCCTTGTATGTGTCCATGGGTTTAACTTCATGCGAGGGTAAGTACTGCCACTTATGTTACAGTGGAACTGTTCACCTGCTTCAGAAAAGGGCACGGAACCTGAGCTGTTCTTCTTTTTCTGTGTTCATTTTCCTTCTAGGCCAGAAATTCGGGAGCTTTACCCAAACAAGTTCATCCAAAGGGATGACACTGAACGGTTTTATATCCTCAACACCCTCTTCAACTTGCCTGGTGAGTCTGTGGGCAGTGGTTCTGACCGATAATCCAAAGACTGATGATTTTAATTCAGACTGAGACGACTGCAGGGTCTGTCGGCTCTTGTTTCATAAATGACTACCAGAATTACATCATAAAGTCCTCTTTAAAAAAGAACCTGTACTGGTGATGAACAGTTAGATTTTTTAAACTATTATTTAAGTATATATAAACACTCGTGTTGCTGTTAGCAGCTGCAGTCCTTTGCCTATCTTTGTTTTCCAGTGGTGATCTGTGAATGCTTGAAAGCATTCTTTTCTGAAGGGCTCAGTCGACTGTGTTATCTGTGAATGTAAATAGTTTGAATTCTTCTCAGGCTACTTTATTTTTTAGAAGTCTAATCTTTGACCTGGGAGGTCCATTATTCTTTCCATTTTGACTTGTTTTGAGATGTTCAGCCCAGTTTTCTCCCTCCCCACAGAGACCTACCTCTTTGCCTGTCTGGTTGACTTCTTCACCAACTGCTCCCGATACACTAGGTGAGCACTGCACTGTAGCTGTAGTTGTTTTTGAATGGAACAGTGACGGTTCTCTGTCACTCTTTTAGAGAGTTGAAATGATCTGGGAAACCAAGTACAAAACATTTGGAATAAACCTCTTCTTGTTGGATTATAGTTACAGTTTGTGCAGAGGCCTGCCATACTGAAATGAGTATTGCAGACATACAGATAAAACTACAGCTGTAGCAAAACACCTTTTTTGGCAGATTGGATTTGTGCCTGATACTAGGACTAGTATATCATGGAGTTGGAAATACTCTAGAGAATGTTGTACGGTATAGTGGTGCTCATTTTGGTATTTTGGGGCTCTGTATGAAGTAATATGGAAGAACACATTACATGAGAAAGTAACACTAGTTTCTAGAGTCAATAAAAAGAAAAGAGAAAATTCTTATTTTAAATACTTTCACTTTGTATATTTGTGGATTTGCTGTTTTTATTTTCACCAAAATGCCAATAACATTTTACTACAACAATTGCTGAATTGTGTAGACCAGTTGTTAATTTAGTCAGGATACTTAATATACATTTAGAGTTTATTTACTTTATATACCTCTAAAAATGGAAAGAAATTGTAAGATGCTTAACTGCATTTATGAGATTGACTTTTTTTGGTGATGCAAAGTGGGTGGAGAGTCTCTGAAATTGTTGTTGATTTTTTAGGGGGAGAAAGCTTTCCTGTTTGGCTGGGACACCTCAAACAAGGGAAGGCTACCCCTTTTAAAGCAAGCATGTCAAAACTGACTAATCTGTAAAGCTCAGGTCAGTAATCTGGAGCTCTTGGGCTGTTATTTTCTCCCCTCTCAGCTGTGAAACAGGGTTTAAAGATGGAGACCTCTTCATGTCATACAAGAGCATGTTCCAGGATGTCCGAGATGCTGTAGACTGGGTCCACTACAAGGTAAGGAGCATTTTCATTTGCTGTAAAGACATGAGTATAAGCACCCTGTGTACCGAACGAAATCTTTCACTTCCATAAGTTCTGACCTCATTAATAAGAATGATTGCAGACCTGGCAGACATTTTGCAATGTGTATTTGTTGTAACTTATCTCATGACATTTGGAGCAGAGAAACAGGAAAATAAAACTATGAAGCAGTTTAAACAGAAGTCATGTATCAATCTTTACAGGATAAATTGCATACTGTATATTACATATATGGAATATGCACTTATAAATTTGTGGCCTGCTTTTGAGTCGATGAGAATTTTCCTCGTCACTTGCTCTTGGGTTTAAGCCCAAACAAAAAAACCTGTCAAAACCTTTTCGCAAAGAGTGAAAGATAGTTGTTTAATATGTGAAACACACACTAAGTGTTTAACACAAACTCTGTGTTACTGGTTGTTTTTTTTTTGTTTCTTAAACGAATAAAATGCAAGTAGTTGGAAAGCAATAAATTACTGTTTGTTAGGTTTATTGTATAGAATCCATTTCTCTTTGTTTTTTATTTTAGTTAATTTCTGTAACATCAGATTGTGGAAAACAATTTGAGTAAAGATTGTTATGTCTGCACTGTCCTTCTGATCTTTACAATCTTTAAAGATCATTATAAGTGGGATTTAAGATATAAAATAATAGTTGTGAGGGGTTCACAATCAATAGAGCTGAATCTAGCAAAATAGAGTGTTACTGCAGATGTGTTAGTTATAAGTTTATCGTTATGAGCAGGGATTTTTACACCAGTGTCTGACTGTAGTACAGTATTTGGAATAACTGTTTAAGAATGTTCTTTTTGTTTCATTTGTTCATCTTAGGAAGCAACAGTTTGTAGTTAACTATGCAGTGTTAAATCACCTTCTGCATGTGAGTGCTTTGTGTATCCTTTGCAGATAGTTGTGCTTAGATCACTCAAGGCAGTTCCACTGAAGACTTCACAGAGCAGAAATTAAGGTTTTATTCTGGGATAATAAATCAGTGCAGCCAAAGTGCATACAGATTCTGAGCTTATCAGGTAACAAATTAAGGAAGCACAAGAGCAATTTAGCAAATTAAATGGGACAAATTACTGATTCGACAATAGATAACCTTATTATGCCTTAAAAGTGAGTTTGTTACATAGGGGGGACA